AGCAGCTGCTGCCACAGTGAGAGGGGGGCGAGGGAGGCGCTCCAGCACTGGTGGCAGGTAATGAGAGGCGGGGAAAGACAGGGGAGGGGGAGTCCTTCCAGGTCTCCCCCTCCTATCCCAAATTATACAAAAAAAAAACATTATTTAAACAGCCAATTGTACCCCAAGTCACCCTGGCCCAACTGCAGGATCCCCCAGCTGCTCGCACTCTGCACAGGTTCAGAGGCAACCTTGCTAATCTGGACTCCCAAACAAGGCTCCGGCACAGGGAGGGGGAAAGCAGTGCCTGGCAAAACCTAACAGGCAGCCTCCCCTCCCTCGAGGGTCATAAGTTCAAGGCTGGGGGAGTGTGGGAGTTGGAGTTCCTGAAAGGGAGTTTGAACACACACACTCCAAGTGCTCACTTTCCCATCCATGCGTTCGGGTGCTGCTTGTTCCTGCCTGACTCGGTGGGCGGCGCTCTGCTCGCACTGCCTTTCTGGGCTCCACATGGTCTGGGCCGGCATGGCAGATCACCCAGCAGCTGCTGCCACAGTGAGAGGGGGGCGAGGGAGGCGCTCCAGCACTGGTGGCAGGTAATGAGAGGCGGGGAAAGACAGGGGAGGGGGAGTCCTTCCAGGTCTCCCCCTCCTATCCCAAATTATACAAAACTGACATTTTATCTTTGCCTGCCGGACGGAGGACATTAGGCTAAAAAGGAGGACATGTCCTCCTTTTGCCTGACATCTGGCAACCGTAGTCATGCAGGCACCCAAACAGAGGAAAACCCCACTCATTGGGCCTCCAATCTAAATCCGCATAATTTCTAATCAGTAAAGAAAAGGGAGGGAGAAGACTTCTTGAAACAGGAGACGGGGTTAATCGCTGAAGCCCTGGTTTTCATCCCATGGGGCTCTTATGTCTTCAGTTTCCGACCTCTTTGCCGCTTCTCATCTCTGTGTCACTGAGCAGCAGCAACAGGAGTGCAAGGAAGAGCCGCCACCACGTGGGGCCAATCTGGTGGAATTGCAGCATCCTGAACGAGGAACGAAAGGATTTCTTCTCTACCCTTTCCCTCCCATCTCCCAGCTTGCTGCAGGATGGCAAAACACTGGGGTTAGTGAGGTGGGCTTACCTAGACATTACATGCACAAACAGGCAGGAATTTCTGCTCCGAGACTGGAAGTGAGCATTGGGAGCTGGGATGTTGCTGCAGAAGAAATGCCAGCTACCTACAGCTTCTCCCTTAAACGTTGCTTGCATCCAATACTGCAGCAGTCTAAAGCAGGGGTTCCCAGCTCCTGGTCCACAGCCTGGTGCTGGTCTGTGGCTTGGGTTGGACCGGGCCCCGGAGACAGATCTCCCCCCCGCACAGCCTTCGCGCATGCACACAAGTACATATGCGCCCACACCTTCATGCATGCATGCATGCATGCAAGTGCCCCCCACCCTTTGCACATACGCGAGTGCCCGCACAAGCAGCCCCTGCTCCTTCATAGATGTGCGTGAGTGCATGCGCACCCACACAAGCATGCACCTGCCCCTCGTGCACGCACAGAGGTTGCCCTGCCTTCCTCAATAGGTCCACAGTGTTAAAGAGGTTGGGGACCACTGGTCTAAAGCTTGTTTCAAGCACAAAATGTATATCTAAAGGGAGAGTAAGTGGATGGTGGGTGGTCTTCCACTGGGATACAGAGCACTGGTTCCTTGTTCTTGTGGCTTCTCCACCTCATTTGCCTCCACCACCTTCACATTATGTCCAAGCATGTTATACATAACATACTTGAGATCTTCCCAGTGAATTCTCTGGATGTCTCTTATCTGAAGAGGCATCCTGCGATTTAAAGAGAATCAATATTATCCAGAGACAAATCCAAGAGAGCACCTTTTGGAATTAAGAGGCAAGAATTCTTTTTAATTCACAGGATTCGATGGATATACAAAAAAAAGCATGCTGCTTATATACCGCCCCATAGTGCTTCAAGCACTCTCTGGGCAGTTTACAAGTAAATTATGCAGGCTACACATTGTCCCCCCCCCAGCGAGCTGGGTACTCATTTTACCGATCTCGGAAGGATAGAAGGCCGAGTCAGCCTTGAGCCGGCTACCTGGGATTGAACCCCGGGTCATGAGCAGTTTTGGCTGCTGTACAGCAGTTTAATTACTGTGCCACAAACCCCAGACACAAACAACTGTTTCCGACCCTTCATTCACCTTCAGAAAGGTGAATCAGGTGAGGGATAGAAAGAGGTCCACTGGTTTGGCCCATATCTACTCGCATATTTTCATTTAACATCAGAGCTAGGGCAGTTGCTGAGATTGTCTAGCAAGTGCCTGGTGACTTCTGACCACCTTCTGGTTCCATCACAGGAAAGATAGTTGGCACATGGTCAAACCTATCACAGCTAGCATAGCATATCACACCCAGTTCATGTCTATGATAAAGGGTGCTCCTGTATTCAGCAACAGTCTGCCTTTGGAATGGGAATAGGAAAAAGTTATTGCTAGGAACCTTTCCAAAGGGACCAGGCTGGCTGCTGGTGACTTGTTGGACTGGAGATGGTCCGATCTAGCAGAGGTTGCCTTAAGATTTCATGTTCTAATCTGTTGTGTGGGTTATTTCTTCTCGTCTCCTGTTGGCATGTTCTAATTACACCAACATGAAAACAAAAGATTCAAGTTTCTGAGTAAGTTAGGCATGTCTTTCTCCTACAATAAAAGGCACGGCAGTTTCAGCCTGTAAGAAATGGTGTCTGGGCTATAGCCCTTTCTTCACGGCAAAGCAGTGTTTGGAAGAGGCCAATGGATTCTGGTAAGTAACAAAGAGGGACAGGGATTTCACTCAACTCTTGCAGAGTACTTCCAAGATTCATCTAGCCCTATACTGTATATTAATGCAGAAGAAATAAAACGGCCCTCCCTCTTCCTCTTTGCCCATACTCTTTTCCTGTTGCCCCCACAAGAATGGCATTCACCAAAGAAGACTGAGTCAGGTGGATTGCCAGATCTGATTTTCATAAGAGAAACCATTTCTTTTCCAAACAAATTCCAAACCCATTCTTATCCTGCTTGCTGCCCCATAAAAATCATGACAACCCCCCCCCCAATTGTCTAAGCAAGGTTCCCTGTTTAAGGGGTGGTCATGGAGTGGAGACTGCTCTGCTTTGAAATTAACAAATGAATGCCTGGTTTTGATTCCCAGGATTCCATGTGGACTTCACCGTGATTCTTGCCAGAAACAGTTCAGGGGACAAGGGTCACAGACTGAGGGAAAATGTAGGTGTATTTTTGTGCATACCAAGCAACAACTCACAAACCTATCCTAGTATCTTGAGAGATGAGACATAAATGATTGCAATAAAAGTACAATTTCTTGGTTTGTTCTGCAAGTGGGAACTAGTACAGTGGGGTCTTGACTTAAGAACAGCTTGAGTTAAGAACATTTTGACTTAAGAACCACTCTCATAGGAAAATATTGACTTGACTTACATACTTAGATTTGAGTTAAGAACTGAAAAAAAACCACGTGGGAGGCAGGGAAAGTGCAAAATGTGAACTTTCAGTTAACTGTTGGCCAGTGAAAAGGGTGCCTGTCTGCTTCCTCACTCCTCCCAGCGTTTAGAGAGTGGATTGGGAGACAGTCTTCGGACTGCCTGGTACTGTCCTGCCTGGACTGTATTTTCCCTGCCTTCCCTGAACCTTTCTTGACCTAAGAAAAAAAGAAACAAAATATCCCCCTCTAGTGGTCGAAGGCGGAATAGCAGCTTCCCATTAGTTTCTATGGACGGAAAAGAGCAGATACGGATCAAATGGTTTTCAATGCATTCCTATGGGAAATGCAGATTTGACCTGAGAACTGCCTTCCAATACGGATTAAGTTCTCAAGTCAAGACCCCACTGTACCTTGGCTCTCTGGCTTTGGCCACTCTCATCCCTCTCCACCCCAATTTGCAGAGGCTGGGGAATAGCTTGGCCTATATTGGTGGCAGCTGCAGCTGGAGGAAGGGATCCTTAGAAAACTGCAGTTAGGTACTATTCTACAAGTGGAGAAGGGCTCTGAATCCTATCCCATAGTTTCCTTTTTAGATCAGAGCTTGGAAGTGTTACTCTTTTCTTGAAATACAGCTCCCAGAATCTCCCTGCCACCATGAGCTGTGGATTTCGAGAGTTGTAGTCCAAAGAGTAATTTCTCCAATGCCCTTTTGTACCATGGAGGTTATTTTTATTTTTACATGCTGGGAACTATTTCCTGGGTATAGCTGCAAATGGGAATTCTCCCTCATCAAAGCCAGCCCGGGTGGCCTTGAGCAAGCTGCACAATCCCAGAAGAAGGGAAGGATGAAGGGTCTCCGTGTACTCTATAGTCCAAGAGGTGGAAGAGGAGGGAGGGAGAGCAATCAATCAGCCCAAGGGAGGACAAGACGGTCAGCTTCCCACTGGG